GACAATGTCTTTTGTGGAGCGAGAAATTTTGCGCGAACGGTTGTCCACCACAAAGACCGACACAATTCTTTTCTCAACTGTTTGTAGTTCGTCAAGATTTGTAAAGAGCCCATCTTTTGTAACAAGAATGGCGTAGCTTTTAGCTTTCTCAAGGAACTCCGTGATGTTGATAGTGCATTTTGGAGTGGACGACCAGCAAGAGGGCGTCTCCCCGACCGCTACTTTGTCATCTTTGTTCGTATTGTCTGTGGTAATGTTTTTTCTTGTAGAAGAGTCTTGACTTGTTTCGGCTTCGATATTGTTTTCCTTATTTTGGATACTTTGGCCTGATTCGGCCTCCATATTTTCAGCAGAAATGTGAGAATTTTCGCTTTTTTTCGTTAAAAAATTTTCCTGTATATGTTGACCATTATCGGCCATCCTACTTGACGCTGATTCATTATAAATTTCTGTATTTTTATTTTCGTCAGATTTATCAGTTGGCTCAGTCTTTTTTCCCTAGTCTCGAATAATTTTTTTAACGTTCTTTTTAGAGGCCATTTTCTTAAAACACTTAAGGCTTTTTTTCCCATTTTTTCTTCTTCTCAGAAACGAACTGGAGTTCACAAAATAATCCAGGTAAGTAGTAGCATAAATATTCAGGTGGCAAATACCGGTCGGTATAATGTCTGGGTAGACAGCATATTACCCCCACATACAATAGTGTCCAACGTATATATAAGGATTGAGACATACCCATTTGTGTTCTTAGGTATGATATATAACAGGGGGTACCTATTTGAGAAAGGAAACTACCGGAACTCCGCCAGAAGGTAGTAAAGGAAAACGAGAAGAAAGGACTAAACACCAATTGTAAGAAGGCAGGGTGCATATTTGTCAGCAAAACCAAAACTGCCCTATCCTGCCCCCGAGAATACACGTTCGAAGATAAACGCCTTAAGGTAATTAAAACCCCGAAGAATAGTCCAGTTCACCGCCAGGTTTATTAATAAACCCTTTTTAATATATAGCAGAAGAACCACACAAGATGTGGCATCAATATTCAATTCATGGACGGGTGGTAGAAGTAAAAAATCTAATGTTCAGCCATTAAGATGTGCCACTTTATGTTTCGCTAAAGTAAAATATGTTCTTATAAAATTAAGTTATTTTTTGATGAAGCCCGTTCATCAAAGAAACATGTCAAAGTAGAACTGTCATACAATGGAATTCTCTGATGAGAGTGAGCAAAAGAAATATACGTTCTTTTTCATTAGCTTTCAGGTAATGAAGATGCTAAATAGATGTTATTATTGACATATTTATAGCTGGAAAAATATTTACGTGTGACGTGTTTCCTGCTTTAGGACTTCATCCGCGTAAAGATTATGCTTCATCGACTAAAGTGATGTGAGCAGGATGAAACTAGAAAAAGAAAAATACATATAAATAAGACTAGTTAATCTGAAAATACAAACACAATATGACAAAAGCTGACAGAGGCTTGAACATAAAACTAAGACAATATGTCTTAAAATGGGTAAAGAAAGGTAGCACATATTTCGTTTATATGAATATGTATAAAGTTTGCTACAAGAATACATTCCAATGTTGCTGTAAATTCACAGTAAAGGAAGTTAGAAGGTTACATTTTGCAACAGCGTATGTGGACAGTGGACATTTTGTAACAGTGCATGTGGACAATGGACTCGTATTAAAAGGATTCTACACAGAGAGATACAAACGTAAAAACGTAATATGGCGAAGTAAAAGAAATGTTCAAATAATGACGTGATAATAAATAGGCAAAAATAGGGGGGTTACGTCGTTTCGAGTTAAGTCGTTCTCGATTATACGTCATTTGTCAAAAAAATATATGAAAAAATAAAAAATCAAGTTTAAGTCATTTTATTCGACTTTAAGTTTGTCTGCCACAAATATTGAAGTCGTAATATCACTAGAAAAGCGTTAAAAGCGCATAAAAATCATAATAATAATAATATATAATAATAAATCATGTACAATAAGTAATAATAAAAATGATGTAAAATCATATGAAAATACGTACATTTACAGTAAATGGGAATATAATCATCATAAATCCTAGAGAATGAAATATGAAAACATCTGTGATTCTGTGTTGTTGCAGCATACCTGCGGACGATAATGGGCATGTCCCCATTCACATAACTAGAGTAGTAAATACTCTCTGTTGGTCTGCAATTGGAGATCCGTTTCCAGCTGTGCTGGTCAAACTTTCTGCTTCCGCGCACAGAGGATCCCCAAACGAGTCTATGTCGAAGGGCAGAGTCACGTCTCGGGAAACAGCTACCCGACCCCGTTTTATACGGAGTATACGGGGAAATTTTGGTCAAGCCTTCGATCTCGGATACCCACATTAAATTCGGCCTAGTGCGACATCTGACTGCGTGAGGTGGTTGTTAGATATCCTGCAGTTTGAGATTCATTGTGGAATTCACTTGACTCACTTTTAGCAGTTGACTTGTTCTTCTACGCGCTGCTTGCGAATCTTATATATGTTGTTCTTGTCCTAAGTATTATCGTTCATTACCAACCTTCGTTTGATTATTCTATTCAGTAACCTTCCCAAGGTTACAACAGTTGTTGTCTTATTTAGTGGTTTTTAATAGCTCAATACTGGCATTTTCCATGCTAGTTCTAATATCTACCTCTTGATGTCATTGTCAGCGCCACTTGTGATTCTCACGAAATTGAAATCCAGTTTAGTTTAGGCATACGCATGGTATACATCTGCTTATCGCCTACTCTCTCATTTTCATTCATTTGCGACTTTATATTTTGACCTAATGGCTCCTAATAAAATTCCTAGTGCAAGTGCTAAGCTGGACGATAAACTTACTATGATAAAACGCCTTGAAAAAGGTGAAAAGGTTATATCGATTGCTCGATCTTTTGGAATGAGTTGGGCAACTGTATCGACGATTGTTCACAATAAGGATAAGATCTTGGCACATATCAAATCTGATGCCACAGGGATGAAGAATACTGTTATCAATAAGAAAAGAGGAAAAATCTTTGAAGAGATGGAATAACTTTTTTCTCTTTGGATCATCAGCGTGCTGCTATTAGTCAAGAAATCATTCAAGCGAAAGTGTTGTCTTTGTTTGAGGACCTGAACAATAAATACTCGGATGAGAAAGATATAGAGTTTAAATCGAGTTGAGGTTGCTTTATGAGATTTAAAGAATGAAGGAGTTATCACTCTATTAAGAAGCAAAGTGAAAGTGAATCAGCTGACGAACAAGTATCAGCTGATTTTCCTAACGTTGACGAAACTGGATTTTATTGGAAAAAATTGCCAGACCGTTCTTTCATTGCTAATGCTAAGTGTAAGGCTATATCGCTGATGAATTATTTTATTCAGGATATAATAAAAACTTTAATATGCAATGGGGAGTGCTTATTTGCGGTTTATAGTGTGTTTTTTTTTCGACTTAAGTCGTTTGTTGACCTCAGTCGTGACCTCTAGAACCAATTAACGTCGTAGGGTGAGGAATACCTGTAATAGTTACAAACCGGTGATGGTAACATTGAGGGTTAGATTCGGATAATGAAACTATCGACCACGTGCTTGGTGTGATGTCGTTATTGTGTGGGCTTACAGTGAAGGGTTAAACGGAAGTGGTCAGAACGGTGACCATCTAGAAGGTAACTAAATTAAAATTGGGGCAAACAAAGCGTAAGTAAAACTATACAGTTTCTGTACTGAGGCAACAGTATAATCCTAATATCCGAATTACAAATTGGAAAAAAGGTTTTTTTAACAGTGTTATGGTCCGGTTCCTTGTACCACGGTGATAGTCCAAGGTAGAACCAATAAAGAAGAACTCGAACACGGATATGGAATAACACAGATATATTACAAACAGGAATATATACAGAGAAGTAGAAAGTGTTAGTACGAACAATCAGGTTTAGTAGTAATTGTCTGAACGCGACTCTGTTTCTAACTCCCTCTGACTCGACTGACTGACTCGCTCTGACTGACTGACTCCTGATGGACTTCACTCCAGACTTCAGACTGAACTCTCTGCTTCCTCTTGAGACGCAGTATTTATTGCGTATGGAATAGTCCATTATGTTATTATGGGTCACATAACAAATAGAGGATGGAAAGTGTGATAGTGAAATCTGAACACGCATCAGGGTGACGAACGATGCCTTCCAAAAGCTAAGCAACGTATAAACACAGAAAATCCAGTTAGAGACAAAGAAAAGATTAGAAGAACTGTTACGTAATATGTTCTCCTATATGGCAATGAATGCTGGGCCATCTATAAGCAGATGAATAAGAGATTTGAGGCGATAGACATGTAGTTCTACAGAAGGATGCTGAGAATACCATATGAGCAACGATGAAGTTCTAGAGACAATGACAACAAAAAGAACACTTATAGGCAGCATCAGAAGTAGACAGTTGTAATTTCTAGGGTGCATAATGAGAAAAGATAGCTTGGAAAATCTGACGCTCACAGGACATATTGAAGGCAAGATTGACAAAAGCAGCGGATAACCTATCTAACGAACTTAGGTAAATGGTTAGCAGAACATAGATTAGGAGATGTAGCAAGAAGACATATTACTAAGGGCTACAAAGGACGGAAGATTGTGGAGAGCCATTATCACCCAATAGAAGAAGGTAGATAAGATATAACAAAAGGTTTAAGCGTGGGAATGCCGATGATTAACTGAGCTAGTCCATTTTGACAGTTACTACTGATTAGTGATTTCGCTTCTCACTGGAGGTCTCGCATAAATTCGACATTAGATAACCCGACGAAGGTTAACATGTCCTAATGTCAAGCAACCTAACCTAAATGTAGGGAATGTACATGCATATATATATATATATATATATATATATATATATATATTGTAACAAAACATCCCTTTTTAATAAGCATATCGCCAAATGCGTCAGAGCCTGAAATCCTTTACTGCATTGGGGATGTGCTACTTTCAAGGTAGATCTCCAGAGGCTAGAGAGAGAACACGGAGATGTTCACCATAGATAGATAATGAACATAGTGAGAAATACAGACACATACATACATACAGATAGATGATGAACATAGTGAGAGATATAGACATAGATAGATAGATAGATAGATAGATAGATAGATAGATAATGACATAGTGAGAGATAGATAGATAGATAGATAGATAGATAGATAATGAACATAGTGAGAGATATAAACATAGATAGATAGATAGATATATAGATAGATAGATAGATAGATAGATAGATAGATAGATAGACTGTTTCAGTTATCAAGCTAGATCCCCACAAAACATGCGAACTTGACGATAACCCTGCAATTGTCCTGTTGAAATGTGTCCCTGAACTGGATCCTGTTTTCTCTCATATCAACAAAAATATTTGTCTGCTTCTTGTTTTCCAGCTTCTTGGAAACGTTTTCTGTACTTTGTCTTTCAAAATTCTAGTGAACCTTCTGATACCCTCGATTTATAGTCCTGTTAGGCTTTTTTTTTTTTACTTCTTTTTGGCAAAATACTAGAACTACAATTGGTTTAGCATCTCATTCTACACAGCCTTTTAGATAAACAATATGGCTTTCGTTCCTCCTGGCCAACTGCCAGTGTGTTAACGATTTTTGCTGAAAGTATCTCTAGAGCTTTAGATATGAACAGCAAGGCTCGAATTGTATCGTTAGATATCTCGAAGTCCTCTAACAGAACTTGGCATGCAGGCTTTTTTCACGAACTTAAGAGCTATGGTGCCTCTATATATAACTTGATCCGATCTTTCTGTAATGAAAATCGTCTTGAACGGCCACTCTTCTAGATCATTTCGCTTTAATGCGCGGGTTCCATAAGGCTCTATCCTTGGAACTACGTTATTCCTTGTCTTCATAAAGGATTTTCCCGATATCTTCAGTTCTCAACCGGGTATTTATGGCGATGACACATTTACTCCTGTCTCAATAAGAATTCGTATAGTTCGGTTAAGGTAAAACTATCAGCTAATTGCTAAATCACCTTCAGTTGTTAACTGGAGCAAGAAATGGCTTGTACATTTTAAAGTCTCCAAAATAAACTGCTATCTTTTAGTTCTTAGGGAAGTATCCTAATCTCCTGAAGAGCAACTCACAGACTTGAAATGGGATGGTTATATTAAATCAGTTGCTAGGTCTGCTAGTCGAAGATTTGGCTCACTTTGTCCGGCCAGACATCTATTCTCGCCAGAATCATTCTTGAACGTTTATAAATTTACTATTTGTCAGTTTATTGAATATTGCTGCCATATTTGATCTGGCGCTGCGTATATATATATCTTTATATATATATATATATATATATATATATATATATATATATATCAAGATTCTCGACAAAATCCTAAGAAGGGTCCGTAGTGTTATAGGTCCTGATCTGGCATCACGACACCTGACACATTTACACCGCTGCAATGTGACTTCCATCTGCCTTTTCTATAAATAAAGTTTCACTGCAATTGTTCTAATAAATGTAACAGTGAAAATCACTTTTATTTTCCATGTACTTTCCATCTCTTTCTGAGATCATTGGGAAAGAAAAGTGATTCTCAATGGTACAGTGCATTTCTTGACTTATTTAATTGTAATATGCGGAAAAATATTCATGAGTATGAAAGGATTATGATCAAAATAAGCAGATATAATATTTGTAATTAATTCAGTCAGACATGCCTAAAAGAAAATTTGCTGCCTAAATACACACACATATATATATATACATACATACATACATACATATATATATATATATCTATATATATATATATATATATATATATATATATATATTATGAACATAATCAAATGTATAAATAAAAGTATATCTAGGTTTAAGTGTTCAAATACAAATACATATTTGGTGTAAAAAAGTGCTCAATGCTAACAGAGTTAAGTGTGTGTATATATATATATATATATATATATATATATACAGACGTATTTTTATGTATACTGCGTCTAAATATATATATATAGAGAGAGAGAGACAGAGACAGAGACAGACAGACAGACAGAGAGAGAGAGAGTAAAATCACTGGAATTTTTCGAACACCTTTTGTCAAACACACTTATCGCTCTCAGTTCTTGAAAAGACTATACTTTCTACAATCTTTATCAAAGGTCATTTTTATACATTCAGGTATTTTGGACTGTCTCAGTCAAATAAATCTAAAAAGTGGTTTTTGTATAGCTCAACATTTTTCATCCTGATGTAAAACACCCCAGTCAGAAGATTTGCATATAACGTTATATAAAATAAACTGTCCTTGCTGGTGTTATTCAATAAAACTTGAATTCTCATTGCCTAAATGCACACACACACACACAAATATATATATATATATATATATATATATATATATATATATATATATATATATATATATATTATAAATTAATTGATTTAAAATATGTTTCTTTTCGCTACACAGTTCTAACCATGTTTAAAAAATGGAACTAATGTCTTTAATTTAATTACAAAAATTAAATTCGGGGCTTTTAGCTTCCGTTTTTGAAACATGGTTAGAACTGTGTAGCGAAAAAGCCATATTTTAAATCAATTAATTTATAATATTAATTTCTGTAAATTTACATTGAGCACTATTTTTGTAAAATAAAAATATCTATAAGAACACCGGATTATATATCTTACTGTTCTTTCTTTTTATTTACACACACACACACACACACACACACACACACACACACACACACACACATATATATATATATATATATATATATATATATATATATATATATATTGTTGAGTAGTTACTGCGTATATCGAGTTTGATTATACAGTCAGTTTCGCTGTATCACAGCTCATAAGTGTTATAGACATCCGATTGCTTCAAGCAGAAATGTAAAACTCAACCGATTTGACATCGGTCAGAGTCCCTTATACCTAGGCTATTAGTGAACGACAGAGGAATGGAATTTTTAACGCATTATATACTTGATATATAAACGCCATACCGCCACCACAGCGATCAATCCCTTCGAAGAGCGATGCATTTAAAGCAGTAGCAGCCGTTAAAAATTCCCGTTTCACTATAGTGCTCAATCGGCGAACAAGCACACACACACACACACATATATATATATATATATATATATATATATATATATATATATATATATATATATATAAGCTGTCATCGAGAACTTCATTTTCAGTTATTGAATGCCGCTGTTAATGGAATGGAGAAACATTTGGGAAATTTGGAAAAAGGCCAAATGGAACGGCTAAAACAAGTAGGCCAAATCATTTATGGTATGGAACGTCTTGTGGTGGGGGGTATAATTAATAGTGTTGAGTACTTATAGGCAGTGTTCCGAGAAGGAGGGGAATCACCGACAAGACATTTAGCAGCAATTAAGTATCGATGCGAGAAATGAACAGAAGTTTTTCACAATTACGAGCCCGCAAGTGGCTCAAAATGTGACAAGTTGTACAGATAGTCTTAATCGATAAGAAGTAATACAAATTTTGCAACGCACATGAGTGGAGAACGAGTAGGAGGCTCCACGGGGGTGGTCTTATCATCAAAACTCTTCAGTCGCCATTCCCATTCACTGCGTTGGGATAAGCTGGAGCAATCGCCAACACGTAATTTGCAGCAGTTAACGGGACCTGTTCTTAACAATATTCGGCAGAGGAAACATTTGGAAATTTCGGTCAATCTGTGACTAAACAGAGAGAAATGCTTTACAGGTACTTAGAGGATCAACATTTTATTATGCAGCTTGTCGTAAGGTTCTGGCTCATCAGTAAACACAGACATATACACACACACAAATATAAACACACACACACACACACACACACACACACATATATATATATATATATATATATATATATATATATATATATATATATTGAAAACGAACAAATGGTGTGAAGGAAAAGATATTTGTGTACATACACACAAACATAGATAGAGAAAGAGATAGATAGATAGAGAGAGAGAGACAGAGAGAATGTGATAGATAGATAGATAGATAGATAGATAGAGAAAGAATGAGATAGAGAGAGAGAGAATGAGATAGATAGATAGATAGATAGATAGATGTGGTGAATTTATATATATTTTATTTTATACTTACATTTATATATATATTTATATGTGTCTGTGCGGATGTGTGTACGCTATGAGTAGTATGTTTTTTTGTTTTTTTCTTGTTTCATACACGCGCAAATATTTGAATCGTCACTTATTTGGGTTTTAACTTTTTTATATATATGTACATATGTGTATATCTCTGTGTCTGTTTATATGTATGTATGTGTATATATATATATGTGTGTATATTTGTATGTACATGTATATATGTGTATATGTGTGTATGTATGTAAGTGTGTATATATGTACGTATGGAGGTGTTTATGTATGTATATGTATAGGTGTGTATGTGTACTTTTGTATATAAATGTTTATGTGTGTGTGTATGTGTGTGTGTATGTGTGTGTGTATGTGTATATATACATGTGTAAGGGTGTATGTATTTGCATGTGTATATGTATACATGTGTAAAGGTGTGTATGTATTTGCATGTGTATATGTATGTGTATATGTGTGTATGTGTGTGTGTATATGTATGTATGTGTGTATATGTATGTATGTGTATATGTATATGTATATGTATGTGTGTGTATGTATGGGTATATGTATATATGTATATGGATATATATATATATATGTATATGGGTATATATATGTATGTGTATGTATATGTATATGTATATGTATGTGTATGTGTATGTATAAGTATGTATGTATGTATGAATATATGCATGGGGTATATGTATACGTGTATATGTATGTGAAAAGTGTGTGTATATGAATATAGATGAATATGTGTATGTGTGGATATGTGAATATATTTTTATATATATATATATATATATATATATATATATGTATATATATATATATGTATGTGTGTATGTATGTGCATGTATGTACACGTATGTCTGGGTGTGTGTGTGAGTACATGCCTAAGTGTATGTACCTACTTATATTGTTTTTTTTGGTGTGTATTAGTATGTGTTTTAAACATAGAAATATTTGGTCCTTGCTAAATAAGACAATCTTTATATTCACCTTCATATATTTATATTTGATTTCTAACCTGGAGTCTATACTAATTTCTCAATTACAAAGCAGCATATTTTTAAGTAAACACAATTTTATTTTCCTTCGTCCCCATCTCTCTCCCCACCTCTTCTCTTTCTTTTTCCCCCCTACCTCCTATCCTAACTTCTAATTGTCTGTGATGTATGTATGTCACCATGAAATGTATCTTTTATGCATTAGACATCCGTCGACTTTCTTTCTCTCCTCTTTTTAAATTCCCCACCCCACCCACATCTCCTAAAATTCTCTCTGTTAAGGTTTCATGTCCCTCCTCCTCATACTTACTCTTTCTCTAAATTCGTTTTTGATTTCCGGAGTTGTTTTTTTTTCTGTTTTCATTTTGAATTTGTAGGTCTGATGAATTGGATCGTATTTACGATTCCAATGGAATAAATTATGACCATGGAATATTAGTGTTTAAGCCTTTTTTATTATATCCTTACTCTGTCCTAGACATTGAGTTCTACCTGGATCCTTCCTCTTGGAAAAATTTTTTCTGAAAATATACATGTATGGGAATTTTTAGATATATTTTTTTCATATGTATGTATATTTTCCACTAATATTATCTATCTATCTATCTATCTATCTATATATATATATATATATATATATATATATATATATATATTGGGTGTGTTATCCATATTTACATTTTTGAGTGGATATATGTGTGTGTGTGTGTGTGTGCGTGTGTGTGTGTACGTAAATATATCTTGACTTTAAGATTTATATATATATATATATATATATATATGTGTGTGTGTGTGTGTGTGTGTGTGTGTGTGTGTGTGTGTGTGTGTGTGTGTGTGTGTGTGTGTGTGTGTGTGAAAATATATAGAAAATAGGAAGGAACTGGTTAGGTAAATAATCCAAAGTTCCTTAGTATTTTAGTTATCATTTTTTAAAAATAGTGCTCGATACAAAAGTAGAGCATAAATATAATTATTTATTTAAAAATATGATTCCAACTCGCGACATAAGAGGTCTCATGTTTCAAAACAAGAGCCGAAAACTTCAATATAATTATTTGAATTAAATTGAGTTAAAGTAAGCTCTGTTCCATCTTCAAGCGAAATTTTTTTTGGAATAACGTATTTCTGAAATTTATGTGTTTTAATAATTGAAATCAAAATTTCCATGGTAACAGCTAGGGCGAATTGTTTAAATTGGGTAGGCGTGTGTTGGGTGTTAATAATAAGTATCAGTATAGAGTTACTTTCATAGATGTCAAGTCAGGGAAAGGTGGGGGGTGTCTAAATTTGAAACGGAAGATGTATTCACCCTAGTCTGGTATGCTTGTCTATGGAGATTTATTTATTTTTTTATTTTATTTTTTTATGATGAAAGGGATTTGTGCATATAAAAAAACTGCCGTAACTTTTGTTTTTTGACGACTTCATAAAGGGTTATCTTTTTTGTAGGGTATTTAAACTATTTATTTGGGCTATAGATTATGAAAGTTATTATATTGTATGCTTGTTTTTAGCTAATTATTCAAACCATAAATCTGATGATGTCGACAAAAAACCGTTAACTCATGTCTATTGTTTAATAGATTATTATTATTTAGAAGCTTAATAATGTGCAATTTCTCATGGAGGCACAAAGGGCATGGGTCATCCCAAGTTTTACATGTTCTAGCCCTGTTTATAATTTTCCATTTTACTTTAGGTGTCCTATTTGTTTCCTTCAGATGCCAAAAATATTTAGATAGGGAAATATTTTTGGCTTACTTTAACTCAATTTAATTCATATAATTATATTGAAATTTTCGGCTCTTGTTTTGAAACATGAGACCTCTTATGTCGCGAGTTGGAATCATATTTTTAAATAAATAATTATATATATATATATATATATATATATATATATATATGTGTGTGTGTGTGTGTGTGTATATATAAATGTATATGCATATATTTTTCTATGTTTTGCGTATAGATACATGGATATATATATATATGTGTGTAGGTATGCATGTATTACCTCTATGTTCACATATATTCATATATAGATTTACACACACACACATGTATATATAAATATATGCATAAACTTTTGTCATATAACTTTATACTTCCATATTTTAATATATATGTGTGTGTGTGTGTGTGTGTGTGTAGAAATATGCATAATATATATGTATGTATCTATAAGTGTTTGCGCCAATGTCTGCATTGTAGGTTTGCATTCTATTTCTGAGTAGCTCTCGTCAAAAGCCTTGCCGGCTGAATTGCCCAAAAGCTGTGAACCACTGGGATTGGGGCCAGAAAACGTGACTGCTGGGACAAGCTGGAATTTGTTGGCGGGTATGTGCCGATTTAGAACATGTTTGGCCACGGAATGGTCGTTCAGATTGGTCAGGCATGACATTGTGATAAATATCTATTGGTAAAAACAAACGAAACAAACAAAAACTGTCTAGAAAGAAAGAAAGAAAGAAAGAAAGAAAGTGCATCTGTCTAGAAAGAAAGAAAAAAGAAATAAAGAAAGGAAGACGGTATAGACAGAAAAATGAAAAACTTATCTCGACAGAAATAGCGCAAGAAAAACAAACGTATTTAGGAAGAACGAAAGGAAGAAAGAAAAAAATATATATATCTAGCAAGTAACAAAGAAAGAAAACATGCCTGTGCAAGAAAGAAAGAAAATATATCTGTAAAGAAAGAAAGAAAAAAAGAAAGCAAGATGAAAATATGTCTAAAACGATAGAAATAAAAAAAAGATTAGAAAGAAAGAAAGAAAGAAAGAAAGAAAGAAAGAAAGAAAGAAAATATGTCTAGAAAGAAAGACATACTGAAAGAAAGACAATTATTATAGTCATATAAATGAAAAACTTATCGAGACAGAAACAACGTAAGCAAAAAAAAAACGTATATATGTATAGGAAGTGACAAAGAAAGAAAACATATCCTGCAAGAAAGAAAGAAAGAAACCATATCAAGAAAGAAAAAAAGAAAGAAAGAAACCATTTCTAGAAAGAAAGAAAAAAGAAAGAAAGAAAGAGAGAAAGAAAGAAAGAAAGAAACCATGTCTAGAAAGAAAGAAAGAAAGAAAGGAAAAAATGAAAGAAAGAAAATGGAAGAAGAGAAAAGTAAAAAATAAAAATAAAACAAAGGAAAGAAAATAGAAAAGTAAAAATAAAAGGAAAGAAAAATGATGAAGAGTAAAAAGAGGGAAGAAATGGACGAAGAAAAATGAAAAGGAATGTAGAACGAACGAATGACTGAAGGAAATTGGAAAAAAAAGAGGAGTCAATGGAGAAAAGGGGAAAAAAAGAAGGGAACAAAATAGAAATCTGAGATTTAATTTCTGTTATTATTGCAAATGGGATACTTGGGTAGCATAACGGTTACCAACCCGAAAATTAATGCCGACGAGCTGAGTTCGAATTCGAGTGTATTTTTTTACGTTAGAACAAAATTTAAATATCTGGGAAATTTTCCAGCAGAGGACGGAAAAATGCGACACTGAGGTTCGAAGACATGCCGGAATAGCCAAAGAGGCATTTCTAAAGCTAAGCAGAGTATAAAGAAACAGAAAAAAAAACTTCGTTAAAAACAAATAAAAACGTACTGATCTGTTACGACATATCTGTTCTCCGATACGGCAGTGAATGCTGGAGAGGAACAATGAAGAAGCGACTTGAAGCAACAAAAATGTGGTTCTACAAAACGTTGTTGAGGATACCATGAACCGAACATGTGATCAACGACGAGGTTTTAGAGAAAATAGCAACGAAAAGAAAACTTATACTTAATATCAGGAAGAGGAAGCTGAAATTTCTACGGAACCTAATGAAGAAAGAAGGCTTGGAAAATCCGATACTCACAGGAGCGATTGAAGGAAAGAGGGACAGAGTGAAACAGCGCGTAACATAGTGAGTTTCACTAAATGGATGGTAGAACAGGGTTTGGCAGAAATAACAGAAAGACAAAACTTATTAAGAGCAACAAGGGGCAGGAAGATGTAGAGAGCCTTGATCGCCTACGACACATAAGAAAAGAACACTAGTTCTGGGAAAGACAGACACGTTTCTCTTTCACCATTCTAAGCTCACTGGTAGCCATTCCAAATAAAGGGGAACACTGAATTCAAAATCATTTCATTAGGAGGCTGTGAATTGTTTTATTTGTTTAACGGCATAGCAAAAGCTTATGGGTCATTTAATGACGAAATTTAATTCTTTTGAGGAGCTTTGAAGTAATAAAAATATAATACGTTATTCTGTTTTCACACTTGAATACGTGGTAGATATTTGTGGGCACGTGATTACTAGAGGCGATGCTTTGTGCGTTTTATGTTGTAGTTTTATTCTAGTTATATTTTGGAATACAGTTTGATTTCTTTAACAAATTGTAGGATATTATATAGATTAATGTCATGAAAGAAGTCTTTCATGTTTTTTGGGTTTTTTTGGTTGGTTGGTTTGTTGATTATTGGCATATCAACATCTCTATGGGTAATTTTATGCCGAAATATAAATATTTTGAACAAAATTTTAAGACTCCAAGTAAATATATTTTAAATGTAATTGTATACCTTTAACTACAGATAAAATGTATTGTTAGTCGTTTTGCTATAAAATATGTTGTTGGTAATGCTATAAACTTGTATTGATAGTGTTATGGTCCGGTTCCTTGTACCACGGTGATAGTCCAAGGTAGAACCAATAAAGAAGAACTCGAACACGGATATGGAATAACACAGATATATTACAAACAGGAATATATACAGAGAAGTAGAAAAGTGTTAGTACAAACAATCAGGTTTAGTAGAGAGAACAATGTAGTCTCGACCAGTATCCCTATTCCAATGTCTTGTAGTAATTGTCTGAACGCGACTCTGTTTCGTACTGCCTCTGACTCGACTGACTGAATCGCTCTGACTGACTGACAGACTCCTGACGGACTTCTGACGGACCTCACTCCAGACTTCAAACTGGACGGTATTTAGTCCCCCCCACGAGGGCATCTTGTGGCACAAGGCCGGTTTAACGTGGCATTTCCGAGCCCGTGAACTCGGCCAAAAATATGCCCTTTGAACCAGTATAAACGGGTTCAGGGTCGGTTTACCTACCCGAAAAAGAATCCGCCCTTCGGCGTAGCCTCGTTCGGGTTCCTCCCAGCCCGAAGGCAGAGAGTTCAACCGATCATCTGGTCAGCCGGTCGCCCGACTTCGGACTGAACTCTCCGCTTCCTCTTGAGGCGCAGTATTTATTACGTATGGAATAGTCCATTATGTTATTATGGGTAAGATCCCATAACAGATAGTCAATATGCTTTAAAATTGTATTGCTTTTCATTTTACTATAAATAAGTATTAGTCATTTTATGATATAAAAATGTTATTCTGCTTTCACAACTGAATACATGGTAGATGATACTCAAATTTTGTATATATACATATTTGTATTTTTATGCTTTCACGGTGCTTTGTTTTTGCTTGAAGTTTCGTTAATTGCCCATAACTGGGGGCCTAATAGATCCTACCACGCCAGGTCAAGGTGGACCTGGAGACAGTAACAATTAATTTCACGCTCCTGACAACCTTCAATCGCCTAATAAGAAGCCTTGCTGACGGATGTATTTTGTCGTCATACCCAGGACTGAGGAAGCTATGCAGAGATATGATCATCTGTATCCTGTGAAATTTTTAAAAAAAATGATCAGTTCTCAACTCGACACCTATGCTGATGACATAGTTATTTACTTCGCTCGACAGTAAGTCTGACCCCGTTCGATATAATCAAATTGACAGCTGAAAATGACGAACAATCTGTTGTTAACTTGGGCAAGAAATGGTTTGTTAATTTTAACGCCCCCGAAACAGAACCTCTCTGTTTTAATCAACTTTTTTGCTTATTTTTGCTGACGCCAACCTCCAGAATAGTGGCACCTTCTCGGGCTAACGTTTTCTGTTGACATGAAATGGAAAGAGGATATTGAATCAGTTTCTAGGTCTGCTGCTAGGAAAGTTGGTACACTGTGTCGTGCTAGAGAGCTTTTTCTAGCCAGAATCTATCTTACATAATTATAAGTCCATGCATTGAATAATGCTATTGCATCTGGTCTAGTGCTTCTGCTATGTATTTAGATAGTCTTGATAAAATACAAAGAAGAATCTGCAATGTTAATTGACCTGCCCTAGTATCTCGGTTTCAGTCATTTCTCACGACCGTTGTTTCCCTGGGCCTTTCCTATAAATATTTTCATGGTTATTGTTTTGAGAAGATTTCCTCTTTGGAAATTTGGAGTTATGAATTTAAGGCATTTCAGGAAAATAGGTTTCTCAAATCCCATATCTATTATCGCCCTGTCCAGTATTGATGGGAGTTTCCTTCCTAACCTTTTATTTGAAGTAGTGTGGAATGTCAACATGTTGATTATCACTTTATTTTCTCTTCGTGTTACGTGTACTATCCATTTAAGTTGTTGTTGTTTGTGGAAGTCCTCGAGTGATGCTGATTCTTCGATTTGGTACAGTTCTTTTTTTGTGTGTCAGTAGCATCAGTTTGCAAGTTTCAAAGGAGGGTTCTCTCCAAGACCTATTTACCATTGACGATGATTTTATTGTTTGTTATCATTTAGAAATATCTTACCAATCAGCTGTATACAACTACTTTTTCAGATCAATGGTTAATAGGTCTTGAAGCGGACACTCCTTCTTCGGAACTTGTAAACTGACACTACAGAATCACAAACAAAGAACTGTACCAAATAAAAGAATACACATCACTCGAGGATTTTGAGTGATGTAGATTATTTGGCTGTTTGTTAAATTTTACTTAGGTAAGCAGGGTGGAGTTATACATAGCAGCTCAAATTGAGGAATCGGAGAGCCGAGTCCGATTTCCAGTCGGATCCATTACATTCACTCGGTAAAGGTATCAATCCGCTTTTTATCTGTAAATAGCATGACAAACTGGTTTCTATAGCCTTGGGTGTAAACCGGTCTAGGAGAGGGAAACTATGAATTCTGAAAACAGAATAGAGAGGGTTGGGAACCGTCAGGTTATCCTGCCCCAGAAACACCACTTCTACTGCGACTGCAGTGCATGTGATGTCCCTACAACCCTGATGGGTCACGGGATTCTCGATCGATCTTTATTCATTACTTATTATTGATTACTTAGTTATTTCTTGTTGATTATTATTAGTATTACATTCATTTGTGTTTATGCGTGCATTCGTTTCTTAATTTGTTTATGTATCTCATTTGTTTATTTAGTTAGTTTTTTATTTTCTATGCTTGGTTAACTTATTTGTTTAGTTTAAAATATTGGCTTTATCTAAAGTATGTTACATCTTCTGAGTTGTATATCGTGTATACATTTGCATTTTCCATGGTGCTATTTTACAGGGTATTCTTTTTTAGCTTTTGATTTTTAAGTAACGTAGTAAAATTTTGAGATAAATTCTGATCGTTTATTTAGTAATGTGAAGGCGTTTATTAGATTCTCCTTCAGGCGGAGTTTACAGTTTTGGAATTCCATATTTTTGGTTTTTGTTTTTCTTATTTTACATGATGTGTTTTTCTTTTTCTTTTTTTTTTTTTGATTTCCCATACATGTTTAGAAATCACTAAGTTGTTCGCGTATTTATTATTTGTAAAGTATGTTTTGTGTATGTAATTTCTATTTACAGGTTCTTTCAGTTACTTCTTTGTGTAGTTTTTCTTTGTTATCTGCTGATTTTATAATGGCTTGGTATATTATATTGTTTTGCAAGCAATTGGTATTTAACGGACATTCGTTCTTTGCTCTGCCGTTACAGGTGGGCTTCATTTGTTCGATGATTTGTTGGTTATTTTTGAGTTATGCTTGTTTTATTGTTTGCCATATTCTCAGTGCAACTGTAGCTGATTTTTACAATCTTTCTGTTGAATATCTTGTGGAGAATGCTTGATTCTGTTTTGTTCTGTTTTGTTCTAATTGTGTGAAGAGACCTCAAAAGAAAATAGGATTAAATATTAAAGCATTACGTTATTTCACTTCCCAAAATTTGTCCTTCTAGACCGGTTGCCACCCAAGGATACGCATAGCTTGAGCGGGAGAGGGGCGAGAAGAAATGGTATCATACCTTTCCCAAGTACTCAAGTGAATGTAACGGGCTTGACTGGACGTTAACGCATGTGCTCCCCAATTCCCTAATCCGAGCCGCTATTCATTACTCCGCTGTACTTTTATATGCATATCGTGTGTATATTCAGTTTCACTTATATAAA